CTTCTCGTAATTCTCCCTCCCCGTCACAGAATCATGGTTATCTATATAAGCAATTACAGTGTCTCTTCGTCATGGCGGATTTAATTTAATTTTTCTGCTTATCCAAAAACTAACATCTCTTCTCTCTTTTCTCCGAAAATCGGTAAAAATACAATCGACGAAGCAAACAAAAGTCTTCTTCGACTTTGATTGTTTTTTTTTATTTAAATATCTGAAAATCTATTTTTTTCTGAGAAAATTCATTGCAGAGTTGATACAATAGGAGAAACTTTACAAAATAATTACATTTCCATCCAATAGAATCTCGATTTCTGAGCAACGATTTGATTTTTCTCGGATTCTCCGTCGGAAAATTTCAATAGAATCTGTAAGTTGAATTTGATTTCAGACTCTTTGAGATTTAGATATCGTTAGATCCTAAGTTTTTCTCCGTTAAACTGTTGCATCTGTCTTAGAATTAAAACCCGGTTTGGTTTTTATCCTTTTTGGGCCAGTTCAAAAAAAAGAAGTAAAACTAAAGCTAGAATGTCCGAAATCAGACAAGTCTGGTTGGAAAACTATGTCAATTTGTAATAAAAGCTGCTGTGGTTTCTTTTCTTAGTTTCGATTTTGATTATAACCCATTAGATTTTAATTTTACTGTTATTTTTAGTCTCACAGGTTATTGCCTTCTCTAATTTTGGATTGTTTTGTTGTTTTTGGTTTCATCTGCAGGCTGGAGAAAGCTCTCTAGATCTTGTATATGATTAGGACACTGAAAGTCAAAAAATAATTTTGTTCTCATACATTTGATAAAATGAGTTTGGTTGGGAGAGTTGGGAGTTTGATTTCTCAAGGGGTTTACTCTGTTGCTACACCGTTTCATCCCTTTGGTGGTGCCATTGATGTCATCGTTGTTCAACAAGAAGACGGCTCTTTTCGGAGCACTCCCTGGTACGTTAGGTTTGGTAAGTTCCAAGGAGTTCTAAAAGGGGCAGAGAAGTTTGTGAAGATCTCTGTTAATGGCAACGAAGCTGACTTCCACATGTATCTTGATAACTCTGGTGAAGCTTATTTCATCAGGGAAGTTGATCCTACTGCTAGTGAAACCAACAGTGTGGTTTCTAGTTCTGAGGATGGTAATGAGAGGGTTTTAACTCTTGAGCATAGTTCATCAGACGTTGGTGTTGGGGAGTTAAGAGAAGGTTTCAACTCTTTGAACCGGCTTGATAGGACGGAGTCTGATAACAATAGGAGGTATTATGATTTTCAGGATGATCCTCCTTCTCCTACTTCGGAGTATGGGAGTGCTAGATTTGATAATTTGAATGTGGAGAACTATGAAGATTCTCCAGGAACTGATTCTGAAGTGGTTTTGGTGAGTATTGATGGGCATATACTAACGGCTCCTGTGTCAGCGGCGGAACAGGAGGCTGAGAATTTGAGGTTGAATACTCCTCAGTTTCATTTGGCTCCTGGTGATGGGACTGAGTTTTGTGAAGGGAATACTGAGTTTGCTTCCTCTGAGACTTCATGGGAAACTGAGTTTATCAGCAAAGTGGAGCCATCCAATGCTGTTAATGTTGGACCTGAAAAAGTAGACACTGGGAGCGCTGAGCGTAGTGATTTTGATTCCCATTCTCGTGGTTGTACGGACAAAAATTCTCATGATGCTGAAAGAGATATTGTTGGGAGCTGTTTGGAGCAGTCTGAGATGACACAGTCTGGTGAGAATGCCAAGTCTGAGGAGCTAACTTCTACTTTTGAGGGTGAGAATCTTCAAGAAGGCGAGCTTGTACCTACTACCACCATCACAGAAAGTGTTAGAGGTGATGATGATGAAGTGGCTATTAAAACAAGAGATACTATTGTTGATGGTTCTGAATCTACTACAGTTCAACTAACAACAGAGGAATCCAAGATAGCTGTTCATTCTAATACAGAGTCAGAATGTGAAGATGAAGAGACAAGTCCTTCTGCAGAAACTACCATCTTGGTTGAGAACCAGGAAATCGAGATTGTAGAGTCAGAAGGGAGAGTCTCTATAGATTCAACGAGAGAGGATGATGAGCAACTAACTCCATCTAAACCTACTGAGGAGGAAAACGAGAACATGAACACTACAGACTCAGTGGCTGCGAGTTCTAGTGTGGACAATCTGAGTAAGTAACTTAACTTTTTTTTTGCTCAAAACTATGTCTTGTTTCTAACAGTTGGTTTAACTTTACAGAGTATGAGCTATCACTTTGCAAAGACGAGCTTCGTCAAGGTATGGGACTCAGCGCAGCTGCTGAAATCTTTGATACACATCGAATCTCCATAGAAGAATACAAAAACTCAGCAACATCAATCCTCGAAAGTGAAAATTTAGTTGTTAGGATTAGAGAAACTTACATGCCATGGAAGAAAGCTGCTAGAATCGTGCTGGGGAAAGCTGTGTTTGATCTAGACTTAGATATTCAGCCAGATGATGTGATCTCTGTGGAGGATACCAAACCCAAGGATGATGAAGCTGCTGCAGTAACTCCTTCTTCATCTGGAAGAAGATGGAGACTCTGGCCTATTCCTTTTAGGAGGGTGAAAACGATTGAGCATACGACGAGTAGTAACTCCTCGAGTGAAGAAGATCTGTTTGTTGACTCTGAACCTGGCTTACAAAACTCACCGGAAATACTATCAACCAATGAGTCTCCGCGTAGACAGCTTGTGAGAACCAATGTCCCTACCAATGAGCAGATTGCGTCTCTGAATCTGAAAGATGGTCAGAATATGATTACTTTTAGTTTTTCTACGAGAGTTCTTGGAACACAACAGGTTTGTTGATGGTAACATTAGTTTAAAAATTTGAATGCAACACCAGGGAAGATTCTTATAAGTTTGTTTTTTTTTAATTAGGTTGATGCACATATTTACCGGTGGAGATGGGACACCAAGATTGTAATTTCAGATGTTGATGGAACTATAACTAAGTAAAGCTTTTGGATCCTTACTAAATTGTCTTCATATTAGAATTATAATAGATAGACATATGCCAATGTGATGATCCTTTTGTTGCTGTGTATTGCAGGTCTGATGTGTTAGGTCAGTTCATGCCTTTGGTTGGAAGGGACTGGACACAGTCTGGTGTGGCCAAGCTTTTCTCAGCCATTAAGGTAATTTTCAAGGTTTAAGTTAGTCTCAGCTTCTGGCACTTTAATTTGGTAAAACATCCACTACTGATTATGTAAGATACAGTTTGTTCAAGTCTGCACCGTGTAACTATGGATCTCACATTATGCTTTGCTTTGTATTTTCCAGGAGAATGGATACCAGCTGCTGTTTCTGAGCGCTCGTGCCATTGTTCAGGCATATCTAACAAGAAGTTTCTTAAATAATCTAAAGCAGGTAAGACTGAGATCTATCTTTCTTTTAAACCTTACTTTAATCAATACGAATAACATAAGCCTAATGATCTGACAACCATATCATGAGCTATGTATAGCTTTTTGTTATGAGATCTCTTTGCTTATGACTTTTTTTCCCTCCGGCTTGCAGGATGGAAAAGCTTTACCAAACGGTCCTGTAGTCATTTCACCAGACGGGCTGTTTCCAGCATTGTACCGTGAAGGTATTAATCTTAATGCCTTGAAGATTCATTAGTAGTAGTTAACGTATTTGTAATTTGATTAAGGATCTTTTATAATCTTTTTCTTATATAACTACTTTGCAGTGATAAGAAGAGCACCTCACGAATTCAAGATCGCATGTTTGGAGGTAAAAGCTTATCCTTGACATAAGAGAACCGGTCAATCCAGCGGCATATGAGTCTAAGAACAAATTTACAAATGTAATGATGTGCAGGATATCAAGAAACTTTTCCCAGAGCACCACAACCCGTTCTACGCTGGATTTGGGAATAGAGACACTGATGAGCTAAGTTACAGCAAACTCGGAATCCCCAAGGGAAAGATATTCATAATCAACCCAAAGGTAATCAAAATTTTCTTGATATCTGACATATTGCATGATTGATTGTTTGTTGGAATCTTCTGAGACACTCTGTGTTTAAAAAAATTGATCAGGGAGAGGTGGCAACAGGACATCGAGTTGATGTCAAGAAGTCTTACACATCTCTCCATACTCTTGTCAATGACATGTTCCCTCCAACTTCGCTTGTTGAGCAGGTAACTAAAGCTATAAGTAGATTTTATTAGCAAATGTTATGTATAGATTCATTAATGGTTCTAACATTTTAAGTGTTTGCTTACACATACACAGGAAGATTATAACCCGTGGAACTTCTGGAAACTACCAATTGAAGAGGTTGAATGAAGAAATCAGTTAGAAATGAGCTGCCGATGGGTCTAACATGACAGCTGCAGAAAGTCAATGATTGGATTTCTGGAACCTGTCCGAACTTTGTAATGTCTCATGTAGGAGTTGACACAATAGTAAAAAAAACAATATATAAGCTGTGACAATGTATACGATCTTATTTAATTAATAATTTTTTCTGTTTTAGATACTTAAAAAGTAGTCGAAAATCTTTGCATTTTGTACGTATTAGTTAACAATCGTTGTAGAATACCACTCAAGTTACAACTTAATGGTCTAAAAGTTTAAAGATGAGAAACACTAAAATGTATCTATAAAAAACAGTAAAATTGTAAAAAAAAAAAAAAAAAAGCAGTAGAGAAAATTACATAAGAAGAAAATTATACCAAAACAAATGTGGGAAACTAGTTTATACAATCAAATATAACATGAAAAAGAAAACATATAATTGCATCTGAGGTTCATTAACCCAAGAAGATACAATGAAAGGAAAAAGAGATTCATACACTTAAATAAATGTTTTTTTTTCTCACTCCACTTCACCATAGTTTATTTTTTACACTCACATTAACAGAACAAAACCATTAATAACTAAAACAAAATACTAAAATATGATAAGAATAGTAACCAAGGTTTTACCTATAATTGTATGATTCGTTAATTAAAATTCACCGACAAATGTGTAAGATTAGAAAAGTCGCAAGATAATAAGATAAATATAAGGATTTATAATATATAGTTATCAAAATGAAATTATTTATAACATGTAAACTGAATTATTATTGTATCATGAATAATAATCGGTCTTCGTAAAAAAGGATGGAATTCCTAAATCTCTACTTAAACTATAGTTGTCAACTCCTTACCTTGTTATCAAATGTTATTTAATCTTTGTGAAATTGAGAATTTTTATTGTTAATAATAAGTGTACTCCGGTAACTAAGAATTAATATTATTACCAAATTTGAAGTGAGAATTTTTGTCAACTCCTTACCTTGTTATCAAATGTTATTTAATCTTTGTGAAATTGAGAATTTTTATTGTTAATAATAAGTGTACTCCGGTAACTAAGAATTAATATTATTACCAAATTAGTATATAATCGGTCTTTGTAAAAAAAGATGGAATTCCTAAATCTCTACTTAAACTATAGTTATCAACTCCTTACCTTGTTATCAAATGTTATTTAATCTTTGTGAAATTGAGAATTTTTCTTGTTAATAATAAGTGTAATCAGATAACTAAGAATTACTATTATTACCAAATTTGAAGTGTGAATTTTTGTCTTTTCGAACAAAGCTAGTGCATTTTGTGTTTCACTACTTTTAGTTCAATTAATTTTCTGATGAACGTAAAATTTTACCAATTTTAAATTCAAGTTACTTACTGATATTTTGGTGCTCCAAGCTTTTAATAGATTTCTATTAGTCAAATGAATGGAGATTTTAAATGCTAGATTTTCTAATGGTTAAACAAAATTGAGGTTTTTATGTTAGACTTTTAGTATACTAGACTAAAAATTGGATTGTTTTTGAGATGATAATGGATGAGGTTAAATAAAATTCTTATAAATGTTTACTTTAATAGGTTTTATTGGATATTGTGAATCAGTTTTAGATATGGATGCTAATAATGGGTAAGAACCTTAAACCCTTTAAAAACTTATGCCAAAATAAGCTCTAACTACACAAAATGAGGAAAATTCAAGAAGTGTAGCTAGTCTCTTCACTTATTTCTAATTCTACAACAAATTCTTGTAAAGCTTGTGAGTCAGAATTTAAAATTAATCCTATTACATCAATAGTTGTACCTTCTTAGTTTCTTGATCACATTTACATAGATAAAAGTCAATTGATTTCAAATACTTTGGTTTGACAACAATTGAAACTTGTATATGGTTTCCAGCCGGTTTAGAGCATTTTATCACACAATATCTCAATCCTTATATCAATAGACATTACAAAAAAAAAAAAAAAAAAAAAAAAAAAAAAAA